AAGAGTGAGGACTTGTCATTTTGCCTTCCCCAACTAAATTCTAATAATCTCCCCTTTCTTCTAGAGGTGATCAATATTATCACTCACATTTTACAAGTAGGGAAACTGAGACACAAAGCTAAGAGACTTGCAAGGATCACAGAGGAAATCAGCAGCATAGTGAGCTTTAGTGTTCAGGGATTCCTGGATTTCAGGTTTGTGCTCAAATTGTTAACTTGGAAGCTGGTGACTTCAAGTAGATATGATCTTTTTCTGTGTATTTTATGTTTATCATTCTCTCAACAATCTCAAATGGGTTAGTTTACTTGTGCAAATTCTTTCCCAATGAAACTATTCTAATATCAACAGTTACAGCACCAAAGAAACTGGTCCATTACAAATTCCCTGCTAGCACTCTGGCCCTGCTGGTTTTGGGCAGATGCCTGTGTGCAAGGGGCAGACGGTCTTTGAGAGAGCAGGGAGGCAAGGCAGGTAGGCAAGCAAGGCAAAGGGAAGAGTTAGCCTGCTATAAAAATACCTGACATTTAGTCCTACTCCCACCACCTTCCCTGCCCAAACCCTGCCTTGGTCCATGGCACATGACATGTTGTCTGCTTGCTCCATCCTTTTGCTCTCATCAGATCCGAGACTTTCAAGGGACCCAAGGGATGGCACGTCATGCACATACCCGCCCACATATCTAAACAAGGATGGGATGTCTCACTGTCAGACCCAACAGCCCTGACCTCATCCCAACTTGCTTTAAAGCCCTGAAGGGCACAGACATTTGTAAGACTCCACAGCTCTTATCTGGAGTAGCCCTGTTAGGATACAGCTGAAGTCCATGCTGTCTGGACTGAGAGATAATGCCTCCTGCTGTCCAGAGTCCCCATGGGCTTTTAATAACTCATGCACAGTCTGAAGCCTGCTCAGCAATGACTCTGTTTTGCAGGATTAGGGGCCTGTTTTGCATCACTGGACTTGCAAAATTTGCTCTTGATTTCAATGGGAGCAGGGCTGCACCTCCCACCCCTACTTCTTCCCTTCTGCTTCAGTTCTTTTCTTTTAGGTCTTTGTACCATATTTTTAACGTTTGTGATCTACTGGTTTTGGAGCCACTGCTCCCTCACCGTCCGGAGGAATTAGGCACACAGGGCCTATGAAGCTCCTCCACCTTCCTTCTCGTCATCACACACCCAGCAGCAACCACACCCTCCAATGTGTAAGGGGCAAAATATTCTTGCGTACAGAGCCTCAGCTTGAATGGAGCTTGGGCGTGGGGAGGAACTGTACAGAGTTTTTCAGAGGGCAGAAATTCTCTACACTTACAGCTCTGCTGAGGCATGACATTAATAGGTATTTTCCAGTTTTGAATAGTAAAAACTCCCTCATTCTCTTCTCCTTCCTCCCGTGCACCCAGATGTTTGAGTGAAGAGATGGTGCTGGCACTTCCCCCAAATATGGATCCATAAAGATGGCAAAACCAGACAGCTCATTCAGTTCCTCTCCTCCCCAAGTACCGCTTATGTCAGGTTTCCCCCACACCTCAAAGAGCTGGTGTTCTTCTCTCTGCCTCCACTCAGCCACCACCTCAGCTCCCTGCAGACTTGTACCTACAGTGGCTTTCAAATCCTGCCCACCTGGCTCCCAGAGCAAGGCAGCAGGGGAAGGCAAATTCTGTTGGGAGGACAGACTTGATGGAGAGGGAGTTTTTTTACTGTGGGAGGTAGGTCACGTCTGTATTAGTTTTCACCCTAGACACCCAGTGTATCACACCTGTCTGGTAACCAGAACCCTTCCTCCTTTATAGCCTGGCTCTCCCAAATCCCAGGGATTAGTCAATCCTGGTAACACTCACCCAGGGTGGGACTAGCGACTAGGATAAGTGGGGGACAGAAAACAAATTTCCCTTTCCCTGGCTTTGCAAAATAAGCAAAACAAAATGTTTTTCAAGTTTTTGGATACCTGTGCTGCATCAGATTGATTCCCAGGCAACTACAGGCTCCCTGCTGAGAATAGGGCTGATTTGGGGAAGGCACACAACTAAATCAGAAGGGCACAAAATCCTACTGCTGCTGTTTGCAAGTTGCAACAGGATAAAAGAGCTTGTTCCCCCTCCAACAGGAAGACACCAAGGAACCACTAGGCTCAAGTTCCCATTCCCCCTCCCCCTCCTCAGCCCAGCCCTGCCAGCAGGAGTTTGCAGGGAGTAGTTTCTTTGTTTGCAGTTTGAAGGTTTCCCCTGACAGAGCAAATTCTGCACTTATCAGAAAAGATTTGCAAGCTAGGAGGTTGTGACCACAGTCCCAGAACCCAGCTCAGCTGCAGTGGAGCTTAGCAAGATCATTTATTTTATTCTGATTAAACACTTTAGACTATTAAGGGTGAGAAAGAACTAGAGAATCTCACTATGCCAGTACTGGACACACCACACTAATGTGCCAGGTACATGGCAGCACCTAGACATATGGTATCAAAGTGCACTGAAGCCTGCCTGGCTGTTACTACAAAAAATACTTCATGTATATATGAGGCCTTTCCATTCAAACACCCTAAAGCCCTTAACCAGCACCCTAGGTTAGTCATACCTAGGAGTCATACCTAGGCCCTAGGAGCCATACCTAGACTCCTGGGGTCCCCAGACAAACTTTTAATATCAGGCCCCCTTTCACCAGAGATAATGATAAGAATAATTTTTAAATTACCATTTTCGGGCCTCCTTTCTGTCCAGGCCCTGGACAGCGGTTTGCCCATGCCTGTTTCCGGCCCTGTCCTTTACAAACTGCACAGCACTGACATGCAGCTGTTTTGGGGATGGAGAGCACTGGCTCCATGCAGAACAATGACCAAAAAGACTGGGAGAAACCTATATGCACCACGTTCTCTTAATGCGGTTTGGACAGAACTCAGCTGACTTCACCAGAGCATCACCAATTTACCCAGGAGTCTGCCCCACTGATTCTCAGAGAGAAAGTCCCCTTGGAGCACACAGGACCTGGTATTTCACTCTCCAAAATTATGTCATCTTCAGAGCAGATTCAGGAAAGCTCGAGTAGGACCCAAAATGGGGATGTTCAAAGGATCCAAATACTGGTGACAGTGTTAGCCACTAGATTCTTTTGCCTTCCTTGAAAATACCAATCTAAAATATCTTTTGTCATCACTGGCCTTTATTAAAAGACTAGCAAATGGCCCACGAATGGGGGGACAGGGTGCCACCACCCAGTGCCCCGCAGTACCACTGCTCTGCCCCATGGGGCCTCCCCCACCCTCCCATCCCCAATCCTCTCTGTTCGTGGTGGGAGGCACGTAGCCACCCCTTGGATGCGGTGATGAGGCCGGAGCCAGGGGACAAGTCCAGTGCTGCATTGCCAGCACCCTGTGCTGGTGCTGCCTCCAAGGAGCAGGGCCAGGGAGAGGATGAGGGCTGGTCTTACCCTGCCACACCGCTTCGGCCCCTCAGTCCCTGCTGTCATGGTGTTCTGCCGCACGTGTCTGTCTGTGCAGGGCACTCTGATCGGTTGTGTCAGCCAGCATTGATTGGCTGCCAAGACAACCAGTCAGAATGCAAATAAAGCCTTATGGACAGACAGACAGACAGACACACTAAGGCTTTTATTATATTAGAATGATGCGCTGAGGACTTCTTTATTAAGCTCTGTTATAGCTCCCAGTTCTATGCAAGTCCCTGATAAACTCCCATTTTATAAGACCCAAATATTTTGGAGTATTTCTGTACCCAAGCACCCACCAACAGGCAGATCTGGTAGAAGAAATGAACTATCATACCTGTTGGAAGCTCAACAATTAAAGCTGCAGCTGCTGAAGGGCCATGTTAGGGCAGAAAAAGAGGGGGGAATGTATAACTCCCCTCTTTTCTCTCTCTCATTAGAAAGAAAAAAGAAAAACAGTAAGCAAGAAAGGGGAAAAAGGGATGTGGCAAGCAGTGAAAGGAAGAAAAGAGAATAAATATCAGTTTCTCTATCTGGCCATGAGGTGACTGAGGAAGATGAATGGGACCTCATGAAGAATTTTAAACCGGTGCACAGGTGATTTCTGTGAGATACCCACATACTGTGGTGATTAATACAAACTGATTGAGTGATCAATAGATGTTTGATGTTGCCACAAGTGATCAGATCCTTCAGAAGCACAGCTTATATTTTGTGAAACACATTAAGAACACTCATAAAAACAACAGCTCGCTTTATACAGGGCAGGGCTGGATACTCAGCATCTCTGCCGCCCTCTGCGCTGTCTCCAGGGACCTGTAAAGCCAGCAGGTCTGGCTGGCTGAGGATTCTGTCAGCCTGAAGGAAGCCCCAGGTGGCAGACACCTGGCACCCCTGGCTCCACCACTACCAGGAAGCAGGCACGGTAGGGTGGAAGCACTGGGCGTAAATCTAGTAAAAAGGGGTATAGTCAGAGAGCACAAATGTCTTAGTGCTGCCCAGAACAGCACCTTGGCAGCCACCTGCAGTCACATGCAGGTTATAACAGAACCAAGGCATCTCTAAACTATACCTTCCCCCTGGATTCCCAGGGATAACAGAAGCTGGCAGGTATCTCAAAACCATTTCTCTCGTCTTAGCTGCACTGGGCACATGCCCTCTCAACAGCCAAGGGATCCAATGTACCATCCCAAACAACTAGAGCAAGAAGTAACTTACTGAGGATGATGATGACAGTCTTGATGAGATTGATCATGGTCTCTTTATAGCGGGGGTGGAAGCTGGTATGCTTGGACATCCGTGTCATCTTCCTCTTGACATAGATGAAGATGTGAGTGTAGACAACCACCATGATAAGGAAGATGACCAGGTTGGAAATGGCCCAGAAGGTCAGATAACTCCTGCTGTAGAGAGGTGCCATCCTGGAGCACTTGTCAAGGGCACACAGACAGTGCCAGCCATAGGAAGGAATAAGGCCCAACAGTAGGGCTGTGATCCAGATACAGAAAATCAGAAACACCACTCGCTGGTTGGACATTTTGCTGTGTAACTGCATGGTAAAGACAGTCTGATGCCGTTCCACTGCAATGGCCAACAGATTCACCACAGAAGCAGTCAGGCTGGTGTCCAGGAGGCTCTGCCGGATGAACCACGTCTTTAGGGAGAGCCCTGCTGTCCGGGGCCCCGTGTGGAACATGAGGAACATGTAAGCAATGCCAGCAAAGAGGTCTGCTGCTGCCAGGTTCCCCAGCAGGTAGTAGATGGGATAGTGGAAGCGCCGGTTAATGATTATAGCAGTGATGACCAACAAGTTGGTCAGGAGCACAATGACACTGACTGTAAGGCCCAGGGCAACAACCAAGACGTCTTTTGTCCTCCAGTAGGTTGTCAGCTCCTTTCGACTATTGTTGTAGAAAAAACCTACGGTCTCGTTATAGTAGCAATCCCTCATCTTTACTATACCTAAAGACAGAGGAGAGAAGTATTAGCACATTCATATCCACCTATTGCAGGGGTGGGCAAAATGCGGCCTGTGGGCCGGATCCAGGCACTTGGCCTGCAGCATCCCCCAACAAACTGTGCCCTGCCCAGCCCTTCTCTCCACAGGGCTGGGAGTGAAGCACCCATGTGTACACCCTCCCATAACGTAACCTATTGCACCTTGCTCCCCACTTCTTGGGCAGAAGGGCCCTGCCCAGCCAGCAGCAGCTTCCGGGCAGGGCTCCTGCTGCAGCCGCCCCACAGGAACCTGCTTGGTTTCCTGGAAGTCCAACTTGCTTGGGGCAGCTGGGCAGAAGCGCAGAGCACAGCGTGAAGCCTTAACCCAGCAGGGTGGCTGGGCTGGGCAGGGTGTGGGTGTGAGGGTAGAGGGTGTAGGGGCCCCCCCACACACTCGCCCCATGGCATGCAGCCCCCACTGCCAGCAGCAGCAGCAAGTAGGGAGGTCAGGGCGCTCGTGCTGGTGCAGGCGCCCCGTGGGGCACAGCTCTGATCAGCACTGCGCGTGGCAGGGAAAACACAGCCTGCCTAGCTGCCTTTTTCACTGGGGCTCTGCGCTGCAAGCCTGCAGCTCCAGCACTTGCAGCGGGGGAGCTCCTGCAGACACCACCAGCACTGTCAGCGGCAGGGTGGGGAGTAGTGGCGAGTGCTGACCAGGGGCAGTGGCCAGGAGTGATCTTGGATCACCCACAGACACCACCAGCAGTGTCAGCGGCAGGATGGTGAGCAACGACTGTCCGCAGGCACTGCTGACAGTGTCAGTGGTACCTTTTTGCAGAGGATGCACTGCTACACTCAGGGAGTGCACGTTCACCTGCGTGCACTCCCTATACGTTGCCCCTGTGGCCAGTGCTGCACTGGGGGCAAGGATTGCAGCCCCAGCACAGCCTGCCTGGCTGCCTCTACCGCAGGGGCTCTGCACTGTGCACCTGCAGCTCCCACACTTGCAGTGGGGAAGCCCTGCACTGGACTCCGTGGGGACGGGGCTCCCTCCTCTCCTGGTGGTGTGCAGGGTCCTGCACAGCAGGGGGCAGGGGAGGCAGCAGGTTCCAGCAGCAGGCTTTCCCCGCTGCAAGTGCTGGTGTTGCAGGCATGTAGCACAGAGCCCCAGCAAAAGAAGCAGCAAGGCAGGCTGTCCTCTCTCTGCTGCACGCAGCGCTGGCACCAGGCAAAAGTGCCCTGACCTCCCTGCCTGCTGCTGCTGCCAGCAAGTGGAGGCTGTATGCCATGGGGGGATTTGGAGGGGGTCCCTACACCCCCCACCCTCCCTCACACCCACACCCTGCCCCCACAACTCCCATCAACATATACATACACCCCGACATACCCTATGCCCCTCTACACAGCCACACCCTCTCACAACCTCCCCACACCCCACCATACACACACACACACACACACACACACAATATAAGCGACACTTTATTTGAGAGTTATTATGCAATCCCTTCCATATACAGTACACAATCAGAAGTCGTGACAAATATTTTTTGTAATAAAATTAAAATATATTATAGTAGGTGTTTGACTTCTAGTGTATGATTTGTTTTTTTCTGGTTCTAAGATTTCATACATTTCATAGACATTAAAGGTTGGAAGGGACCTCCTGAGATCATCGAGTCCGGCCCCCTGCCATAGGCAGGAAGTCAGCTGGGATCACGTGATCCCAGCAAGAAAACTATCCAGATGTTTTCTGAAAGACTCCAGGGTAGGTGCTTGTACCACCTCTGGGGGGAGTCTGTTTCAGACCCTGGACACACACCATAAGGAACCTTTTTCTTTTGTCTAGTCTAAATTGGCCTTCCTGGAGTTTATCACCGTTGGACCTTGTTATCCCTTGGGGAGCTCTGGTGAACAGCTGTTCTCCCAGGTCCTGGTGTACCCCTCTGTGGCAGGGCACTGTGTGTGCTGCCACTTTTTAAGGGCCAGAAGACAGCAGCCAGCAGGTGCCTGATGAGGGCAGCCATTTTGGATTCAGGGCTGCCCATATAAACAGGACTTTGCTACGGGAAAGCCAGGCAACAACGTCGCTGGGTCGGAGGGCTGCTGGTGTCATCTGGAGGTAAGGGAGGAGCTGTAGGGGATGATCAGGAGGCTCCTGGTCCTGGGCATGACCTAAAACTGCACCCTGCCGGGAGTGGGTGGCCTGGTGGGGCTCCCAGTGGGGCAGGAGCCCCCAGGAAATACCAGGCCAGTTACCACCCTGGTGAAAAGCAGGTCGGGGTGCCTTAACCCCAGCTCCCACAACTGGGTGGGTTACCCACTTTGTAGGGTCTGGAAGGTGGACCCTAGTTAGAGAGTGGAGCCATAGACTCAAACCTGTCTTAATGTCCCCAACTGGTCCATGCTGGGCCCAGGACCGGAAGGGCCGAAGGGCCGGGGGCCCACTGCAAGGGATGCCCAGAGCTGAGGGCCTCGGGCTCTGACTGGCCTGGAGGTGGGCCAGGGCCAGTAGAGCCAGAGGTCCTGGGGGGGACCAGACCCGTAAGGGGGAGCAGCTCAGGGAGCCATGCAGCCAGGAATGAAGACAGCACAGGCCACTGGAATGGAGGGATCTTAGAGGGGTCCCCATCTGAGAAGTCTGGGCCCAGCACGGGGCCAGTGATTGTAAGAACTATAGATGCTATCTGCGAGGCTTGGGTTGTGGTGTAGGGGAGGAATGGAGCCGCATATAGCACCCCCTGGCATTGGGGCAAGAAATGGGCAGCCTCCCGCTTAATTAACATCAATCAATCAATTATCATCAAGGTATGGCAGGAAAGAAGGTGGGCGGTTAGCCCAGAAACAGGTGGGCGGGCCACAGAAAAACCAGCCCCAGAAGGCCCCCTGTTACACCCTCTTATATAATTGTAGGCTGCCACCAAGTCCCCCCTGAGCCTTCTCTGTTCCAGACTGAAGAGTCCCAAATCCCTCAGCCTCTCCTCATATGACCTGCCCTCCAGGCCTTGAATCATATGAGTGGCTCTCCTCTGGACTCTCTCAAGCTTTTCCACATCCCTCCGGAAGTGGGGGCCTGTCACAGCGGGGTTCTACAGGAGGGCCGTGATCTCCTTGAGGCCCCCTCTCCGTGTCAAGTCGGCCCAAGGGCACCCTCTATTCTCGCCCGCCCCGTCTTTGCTCTTAAGTTAAGTTGGGAGGCTGCCTTATACCCTCTTGGACACGTAGACTCCTGGACCCCTCGTGGATCTTGTCCAGCACAAATGGGTGCTTCGGGGCACCCTAGCCTTATGGGCTACGCGTGGCTCCTACCAACCCCTAATACCACGCCCCAAGCCTCGCAGATGTGATAGACGTTGGTGTGTCTCTCTATACATACACTGCCCCCTTCTCTGGGGCCTTCTCTAGTGCTGCCCCCTTCTCTGGGGCCTTCTCTCATAAGGCGCTCCCCTCTTTGGGGCTTGCCGTGCCCACCTTGGGCTTCCTAAAATGCTGCCCCCCTTCTCTGGGGCCTTTTCTAGCGCTGCCCCTCTTCTCTGGGGCCTCCTGTAAAAGTGTTGTTCCATTCAGGGACCCTTGCCTGCTTTGGGACTCTATATCGAGCCTCCGGTCTTTCAGGCCCACCACGCTGCTTCCCCTTTTCCTGGACACTGTACTGCTATCCCCTTTTCCTGGGGACCACTGCAGCACCCTGTCCTTCTCTTGGGTGCACCATGCTGCTAACCCCTTTTCCTGGGGTCCACCGCAGCACCCTGCCCTTCTGTTGGGTTTTCTGCAGTGCTAGCCTGTTACCGGGCTCGTCATGCCCGTCCTGGGCTTCTCACATATTGCTCTTCTCAGGCCTTTCACATAGTGCTGCCCCCTTCTCTAGGGCCTTCCGCAATGCTGCCCCCTCTCTGGGGCTGGCTGTGCCCACACTGGGCTCCCTAATAGTGCCACCCCCTCTCTGGGGCTCACTGTGCCCACACTGGGCTTCTCTAAAGTGCACTCCCCCCTTCCTGGGGCTCGCCCCGCCCACGCTCAGGCTTCCTAGTAGTGCCCCCTCCTGGGGCTCATCGGGCCCGCGCTGGGGCTTCTCCAAATGCCCCTCTCTGGGGCTGGGGTCTACGCACCCCGTAAGTTGCGCCCTTACTGTCGCCAGGGTCCTCACACTCTCTTGTGAGTCCCCGATGAGGCCTCCTCCAACCCCTATAGCCTCACCCAAACCACCGGTCTAATAAATAACAACGCACAAGCAAAACCACAAGCCCCTAGGCTGTAACACAAATTGAAGCTGCCTGGTTATAACTTAACACCGCAGCTCAAGCCTCCCGAGCTGCCTTCTGTAACTCTGCTTCTAGTGTCATGGCTGAGAGAGCTCCTGCCTCTTTGGCTGCTGGCAGGGAACTGCCAGCCTGGCTTCAGCCCTGGGCTTTATGAGAGCCAGGCCCTGCCTCCTACCGGCAGCTGACTCTCCTTAGTTGCCCCGGCAACCCACAGCTGTACTCGCTAATCACCGCTAGGGCTCCTTATGCACTGCCAGAGCTTTTCCTCTGGCAGTTTTCCCCTCTCTAGGAGCGGGGCAGTGAGGTGCGCTGTGACAGGGCCCCAAAACTGGACACAGTACTCCAGCTGTGGCTTCACCAAGGCCGAGTAAAGCAGGAGGATAACATCCCTGGCTCTGCTTGAGATGCATCAGTGGATGCACGCCAGAGTTTGGTTTGCTTTGCCAGCCACAGCATCACATTGATGACTCGTATTCATCTTGTGTTCAGTCAGGATCCCCAAGTCTCTTTTGGTCATGGCACTAGTGAGTGTAGCATTGCTGAGCTTGTCAGTACATTGAGGCTTCTTCCTACCAAGGTGCAGCACCTTACACTTCTCTACATTGAAGGCCATCCAGTTTTGGTCAGCCCACCTTGAGAGTGTGTCCAGGTCAGTCTGTATCCCCAGCCCGTCCTGCACTGTGACCGCTCTCCCCCATAATTTGGTGTCATTCACGAACTTTGCCAGTTCACATCTATGCGTCCCCCAACAGCTCGCCAAAACTTGTCAAGCGGCCCTCCACCCAAAATAATTGCCTGCCCTGATCTACTGTCACTGAGAAATGCCTTTGGCTGCAGCCTCTGAACAAAAGAAAACAAAATGTGATTCACATGACCCTCACTCCAATTTCATGCATAAACACAGTAGAAACCTGAGGGGGAAGGAGAACATTTCTGCCAATACAAAAGCCCCGAACAAGGACCTTGATTCTTGGCTTTTTTGTACCTTGAGTAGTTGGTTGCTATGGCCCAGTGGATATGCAATACTGCAGAATGGAAAGGCAGCAATCTTCACTGTTTTACACTGGTGTGAGTAACTGCACAAGGCAACAGGAGGCCCAAGAAATTCAACTGACTCCAATAAAGTTATGTTGAGGATGCAACATGATGCCGGAAATGGACCAGGCTTGAGTGGCTTGCCCAGATCTGATAAGGGATTCTTCCTTGGGCATATCTGTTCCCAGACTGAGCAGCTACTATCTGTGGGAGACAGAGCCACAATTGTTATTGTAGTCCCAGCTGGTCTATATAAAAAAATTTAAAACAAAGCACATAACAGAGACATTCAGCAGTCAATCATCAAACAAAAATGTGATGATAACTATGATTCTTTACAGCTGTCATAGGCTCCCTAGGGTCTCTGCTCTTGGCTTGGGGAATGCACATCTCTTATAACGGTTGAGGTAATTTTGTTGCCCAAGGCTGTGTGATAAGAAACTCATGGGTTGGTTCTGGATTCTAGTGATCTCCAGGGCTTGCTAACTCTTCCAGAGCAGATGGAAGAAGAGGTAAATGTACATTCTTGGTCTAAACACACAACCTGACCAAAAGTGGACACTACTGCAGAAAAGCAGCAGACCAGTCCATGCGCCTGGGTTTTTGACAGCTGGATAAACTTAATTGGCTCTAACATTTGTAGCTATTCAATGGTAAGAGAGTGGTACAATGGTACAAGAATAACTGAATTCCATACTCCAGGGTATCAACTACTAGCCCACTTGGTTTAGAAGCAACTTGCCTTTCCCACAAATCCTGAGCACAACACAATTAAACAGCCACCTGATTCAAAGTTCACTGAAGTCAATGGAAAGATTCAGGGGCTGGGATAAATGGACTTTTCTACCTTACAGAGCCATTGCCACTAGAGCTATGCTGGCATAGAATTCCTGTTCAGCATGAGTCTAAGCACATACTTCCTTATATCCAGAAACACAAGACTTAATTTCAATCCATCCAGATGATCTCACTGTTTTTGTCCCTCACCACTACTTTGTTTCTTTCCCACACCTTACCTAGGACTGGACTCCTCTTCTCTCCATGGGTGCAAATATATTCTCAGCTGTTGCTCTCCTGAACAACCCCTCCCTTTCCTCCAAAACAGGCAGGAAAAGTCTCCTTTTGCACTAAAACTGTTCACCTCTCTCTCCCTGCCTGTTACCTCTTACTTAACATTACAAAGCACTTGAGCAGCAGCAGCTTACATTTGAGATGCCATACAAAACAAAGCAGCATGAAGTTTGAAGACCTAGCAACAGCATATCATTCTTCCACCTGAAGCAGATGTGCTTACTCATAGCCAGGGCACACTCAGTGGGTACAACATGCTTGCTTTGTGAGAAACAGGTGTTTAATGTTTTGTAACTACTCAAGGTTTTCCCTTGGTACCTGGCTGCAGGAGTTTACTCCTTGGTGTGGCTTGAGAGAAGGATAATGATGAGTTAATTAAGCAGTCTAAATTGTCTAACCTCATTATGTAACTATAAAATAACACAGCAAGGTAAACAAGCCAGAGAGATCTAGTTATTTGTAATCTGGGAGTCAATGCTGCACCCAAGGGTGGAAAAGCGCTCAGTTTAGAGCTGCCTTCCTTAAGGCATTCTGAGGACATTAATATCCAACAGACCTTCTGCATTTATTTTCCTTCTCTAGCTTCTAGCCCAGAGCCCTAATATGCATTAAAGATTAACTCTTTAATCCTCACTATTCTTTTATGAACTAGGTTGCCCCAATTTGCAGATGGGGTAACTGATGCACAAAGAGATGGTTCACTTAACCCCCCTGCCCCCCCCCCCCAAAAAAGTGACTCAAGTAGGAATAGAACCTGGGAGTCCTGTCATGCAATCCCTTTGTGCCAATCATTCCCTTTAATCACACTGCTAGATGGAGCTGGAAACTGAACCTAAGAGTCCCATCTCTTTCTATCTTACTCCACTCGCTGCACGGCTCTGTCTGATTTTCCCGAGCCTACCCCTGACATAACAGCAGGGCTTGCTGCAATAAGAACGTTGCCAGTAACCAAGCAGTGAGGTCACTGCAGCCAAGCCTACTAGTTACCGTGTGTGCCACACTTCTCCCCACACACTCTTTTCTAGTTGTGCAAACACACTGGATGGGCAGGCCTGGAAAATGTAACACGGAAGGAGCTGGGATCAAGCTCTCCCAAGTATGAGTGCAGGACAAATGTTAGTTAATATACCTTAGAACTGCCCTGGAACATGGGAGTATTCTTATTTGTGTAGCTGGGTAAACCGAGGAACTAAGAGGTTAAGTGATCTAGCCCAGTGTCAGTAACCAGAATGGGAATGGGAAACCAGATTTTCAGATTCTAAACCAATGCTGTAATTTAGAAGAGGAAGAAAACAGGGTATATTTGCACATTATAGACTAACTACAGAGATGGAAGCTCATCCTTCCTCTACCTTCTGAGCCAGCAGCAGGAGGCCCAGGTGTAAGTATTTTCAGGACTCCGTGCACCAGTTCAAGGGTGGCATCTTGGTGCGATCACAGCTTAGATGAGGGTAGAAGCTGGTTTTGATCTGCCCAGGGGGAATCTTCAGATGACTACAGCCTTTTGGATTTGAGCAGTGCAGGATGAAATGAGGAAGGAAGGGAGGAAAGTTTAAGAACAGACAGAAGGAACTGGGAAGGGAGGGAGTCAGAGACAGATGACCATAATTGAGGACATCTTTCTAGGAAGGAGCTTCATCTTCATTCATCTCAAGAGTACTTCCTGCACAGGCCCACAAAATCTGAGGCCATGTGCAAAGTTTTAAATCAAACAGAATAAGATAAGATAAAATAAGAATACAAAGCAACTGTTCTCTGCTAAGGCAGGTTAATGACACCAGTCCACTGGAGAAAGAGGATACAAGGTGCTGCACACATCAACCAGCTAGCTGTATGCACTGGAGGCAGGTTTCAAATGCATGTTCCCTTTTTGCTAAAAAATGGCTCAGTGAATGCTCATTTTTTGCAATATAAATACTGAGATTTTATGGTGATCAGTGTATGATGGTTAAACAGATAGATACAGAAACTGGGCTTCAAGCTTTGTACTCTGAACACACCAAACAAAAGGATAGTGCACACCCAACACAGATTTTATACGCCTCCTATCAAATAGATATTGAAAACAACAGTGCAACACTATACGTGTGTATGAATGCATCTAGCTTCTAACTTTCCAAAGTCTGCTGGGCTGTGAAACAAAACATTTACTGACACAATGCTGTTTTGGATTTCTACCAAATAATGGAAACCAATCACGGTTAATTGAGAGAATTAAAGATTCAGAAAACATTGGACAGGCCCCATACACTTTGCTATGTACAGTGGATGCCTCCATCATTCCCCCAGGTTATTGTAAAGGTGCACGTTGAGTTGAATGGAAAG